TCGGCGGTTTGACACCCCTGTTTTAGGACATACAGGTAGTACAATGGTAATTGGAATCAGGACCTCCACTGCTAAGTGACTTAAAGTGCAACGTACCCACACCAGCTTAGAACTGCAATTCTGGTGGTTACAGTCGTAGTTATTAAGTGAATCTTGTATGGTCATTAGGCACATCACATGATCTACTATTTGTGACCTGCCAGTTTCCCTGGACTGTTTGTTGAAAGCTGGCAACATAGGTCAATGGAAATGCTGCAATGGCTACAAGCCACCTCAGTACCATCATCACTTCAGTCACTGAGTGAATGGTTATCAACCAAGCATTATGGAACAGTGATGGTGAACCTTTTGCCTAACTTGACTTTGCTGGAGTGTCACCCCCACTCAAAATAATTCTTTATGCCCCTCCCCCCCGCACATCTAGACCATCCTGAAGAGTGGCACTCAGCAGCAGGGCCAAGGCTGGGGCTGCAGTAAAGGCCTAGGCCTCAACTTCAGCTCTAGCACCACTGCTGCCGCTCGAAAAGTTTGCCTTGCATCTACCCCAAGGCACAATTGCCCTCGCAACCCAGCACTCCCCAGGATTTGCCACATCACCTACCTTCAGATGGTGGTCTCTTTCTGTTGACAAGCCCCACTTACCTACTCAAGACTGCTCCAGGGTAAGCACAAGGCCTCCTTGGAGCAGCTTTGGATTATGCTCCTCCATGGCCTTTACAGTCTCCAAAAGCATGCCCCATTCTCATGCAATTTTCAGAGACTCTGGAAGCCACACAAGGGCACACTCCTCTCACAGGATTTCGGAGGGTGTGGAGGCCTCACAAGAGCACTGTCAGGTCTTGCCAGACCCGGCTTGGCGCCTCACAGTCATCATGCCATCAAAGGCTAGAAAAGGGGATTAAGATAAATGGGCAATAAAGTTGTGTGTGCAAGTGATGGGAAATAGGGAGGGAAGAATGACAGGTGATGAAGACCAGAGAAGCTTGGCACCAGTTTGCACCAGAATCCAAGGCCAGGCACCCTGAGAAAGAATGCCTATTACCCCAAAACATCTCAGCGTTTTCAAAACATCTTGGCAAGTTCCGATTGGCTGAAGACTGGGGGGGGGAAGGATTGGGATGAGGGGAAAGCTTTCTGTATCTTTTAAGTATGTGAAATCCAGAGCTAGCCTGACATTATTGCAGCCAACATCTTTTTAATAAAAGAAACTTGCTTCAACCCTATGGAGTCGTCTTTCTTTCCTAAAGGATCAGATTGGGGCAGGTCTGACAAGCACACCCCATTGTTGTGAGGCCTCCAAAAATTGTGTGAGAACTGGGTGTGCTTTCAAGAATAGTTTTTGTGTTGGTGAACACTGGTGTGTCCCAAAAAAAAAATGTGTCAAAAGAGTTGCCATTTGGATACACAATCTTAATTCTGCTTTTATTTCTTACAATGCTTGTCCTCCAAGCATGTCACTTAGGGGCTAGGTGCGCCTCTGGTATATAGGAATAGAATTATCTACACACTGCTATTATTTTTATAAGTAATTCAAGGTGGAGAACATGCCTAATGCTACTTTCTCCTATTTTCTCCTCAACAATTCTGTGAGGTAGGTTGGGCTGGGAGAGTAACTGGCCCAAAGTCACCTAGCTGGCTTTCATAGCTAAGGTGGGATTTATGGTCTCCTGTTTCTAGCCTGGTACCATTCTCAGTTTGACATTCATGGACTGTTCCGCATAAAGCAGAAAATGAAATAACGCACATGAAGCATAGTCAGGCACTTGCAACCTGTATAGAATGTTTCACAGGACAAAAGCTCATACTGAAAAAGTTGTCACCGGCTGCAAAATTCAACTGTGTCTGAGAAAGCAGCCTCATGTAACATGAAAGATGTTTGTAAGAAGAGTAATCAAATTTGCATTCCTGATGCTAAAGTTGTTGACTAGTTAATAGTTAAATTAAAACCATACCAAATTAAGGTCTAACAGCTTGCCAAAATTACCCCAATGCATTTGTTTTAACTAGTGGCTAGAAAAAGAAATTTAGATACTTATATAAAAAAGAATGTTACATAAACACTTCAGCATGGCAAGTAAAGGGATGTTACTGCTTTTTGAATTTTTTTTAAGTATATTTTTTAAAAAATATATTTTAAACCAGAAGGTAAACATAGTATAAACTACTAGAAAATAAAGGAAAAAGTGATAAAAAAGCAAAAGATGCAAAAAAGGAAAAAATTAAAATAGAAAAGTATAAAGTGGCATTCAATATTCTTTACAGGAGTTCTAAGTACAAATATACATTAACCTCTCTCTAAAGTTACATGTTACTGTCTTTCTACAATCTGTCCTGTCCAAACACAAGTTTATTTTTTTCATTTTTATGCGAAAAGTCCTAAGAAGCTTTCAATCAGCAATAAATGTATTATTTTCTCTTATCACCTTTTAGTTGAATAATCCCATCATTTGTCTGAATACTATCTGGAAATGCTAAATCTTTCTCCCCAATTAGTTTATAGGTGAAAGTTGTAACTCATTGGTACAAAATCCCATTCTGTTGCTCAAGATGCTGAAGAGCCACTTCACATGAACAGTATTAAATTTTAAATACATATTTAGTTAAATCCTAGCATTGTCTTTTGTTTCTTCATCCAGACTTCTACAATCACATAGTGTAAAAATATGAAGTGAAAATTGTTTGGGATTAATGTAAATAAAAAGTACTCTAAAAACCTACGGAATATCTGAGACATATAAAAGGCAGGACACGTTTTGGCCTTGCGAGAGTCTTGTAGGTTAGGGTTAGTGATGCAAGCTGGCTTTACAGAATGACCACAAAAAAGTGAAAAGACATCATCTTTTAACAGATTGTAATTTCCTTTCCATTTTGGAGAAAAGAGGTGAAATCTCAAAAACACTGTATAACCTTTTCTAACCATATACTCTTAAACTGCACTTCCTAATTATCCCTGCCTCTTACTCCTCTTCCTATATTTTCCCTGTATGAAATTTTCAGTTTTAAGCCTAGAAGTTCTATTGTATCCTCAGGGACTAAAAATATACATCGAATGAAAGAATCGTAGAGCTAGAAAATTTGTATTATGTTAACTATGATGTTAAAGTTATGCAAATATAAATGTATACTTTTTTTCATTTAGCAAGCACTTTAAAGTTAAAAATAGGTTAACAAGGAGACTCAAAGAGTATCATCAAGATAGTTAATGCATGGTAAAGTTTAACAACTGCGGAATTAAATTATCATAGGACACCCTTGGGTCTTTTTGTCACTACAACCCCATTGTTAGGATTTATACCACGATGACATTAAAACTTATATCCTGGTTAACAAATTATGTTCACATATCAACATAGTCAAACATATAATTTAAGGTGATGACCCAGTTCATACAATATGCTATGGCAATGCCTGTATTATCACATGTTGAACCATGATTTACCAAACCCTAGTTAAGCCTACTCTAGATCCACTAAATTATATTCTCTAAATGGACTCCAGAAGATGGTAGAGGACAGGAAGGCCTGGAGGAATGTTGTCCATGGGTCGGACATGACTTCGCAACTAAAACTACCATCATATAAGAACAACGCTTAAAAATTTTTTTTACAGTATCTTTATTTAAAACACAAATTGTTAAACTGTTTAAACATCTGATTCAGATACAATGATTTAAATAGAAATATGTACAGAAAAAAATAGAGTATGTAAAAACTCAGTGGAATTCTCTTATGCAGAAGAGAGAAAAGGGAAGAAAACTAACCTCAAACAGAAGATTCTGCTTAAGCAAACTAGAACACCTGCAACAACATGGAAAATTCTTTCATAGTCTCAGACACCTGTTAGTTTCCATTTACAATCAGCTAATAATTCTATTGCCATTCAGTTTGCTGAAGAATTATTTCCAATTTCTTGGGAGCAATATGAAGACAAACAGTTCATTCAGGATAGCCTTTTTTTCAATATTTAAATCTTTTTGCATCTTTTTTTTCCCCTAGAGGCAATACTTCAAACTGAATTGGCAAAGCACTGCCTTCCCCCCCACCCTGTAAAGCTTAATATATTTACATTAGAATCAAGCAACTGTCCCCCCCTCCCACCCTGTGGCTAGGAATATAAACAAAGAACATATTCTGCATTATTTCTTAACCCTAAGTTGTAGCTGGCAGGATTGGGGTAATTAAACTAATTAGAAACAATAGTATTAAGAATGGAAAAAATGTCATACAAAATACAAGAATTGCAGGATATACAATATTCCTAAATCTTCATTTGGCCATAGCTGAGTCCATGAGAAAATTCAGAATATCCGTAGATATGTGGATGAAAAAGTTCGTTAAATGAGCAACTAAAGAACCAGAGGCTCTGGCAGAGATGTCTCAGACTGTTTACGATGTCAGAGGGCAACAGTCCCAAGGTTGGTTTAAAATGACCCATGTAGCAGCACCACCAGTACAGGCCATCATATTCTCCATACAGAGGGGGGGGGGGATCTTTGAATACATTTTGCACATCTTTTTAGGGCAAGTTTTTTAATTATCTCTCAAATGAATAAATTAAAAGGGGGGGGTTAACGTTCCCCCCATGAATTTCTATATGCTAGATGAAACCAGTCAAAATGGCACAAGATGAATGGGATGAGAATAAAATGTGCTATTCCATCTTCTATATAAATGTTGCTTCATTTTCAATAGTATAAGAAGTTCCACATGTAGTAGGCTTGGTCCAAGTTTATTTTCCTTTCCTCTGCATTATAAATAGTTCTGCCATTTTTAGGCTTTTTTTTAAAAAAAATTACATAACCCAAAAAGTGACTCAAAACTGCAGAAATAACTCCCAAAAGCAAAAAGCTCTGAAATACACAGAAATTACGAGCCACACAGCTGAAAAACAGGTATGACAATCCAGTAGAAAATATAATGATGAAAAAAGAGTTGCTGTGTAGAACTATGAGTGGTCTTGGATCTTCTCTAGATGAAATGTTCATGGGTTTCATCCTGAAAATATTTAAAATGCGCGATAGTTGGGACATATCTCTGACCAGCAGGGTAATTCAAAATAAACTAATGCAGCCAAGTTCTTCAAGCAGTTTCAAGTGTACTTTAAGACTTGTCATATCTCCTTACTAGAAAGGGTAATCCAACAAAACATATAGCTTTTATTTTCTCTCAAAATGAAGCTGTGTAGCAAATCAACTGTCAATCATCTCAGAGAGTTCAAGCAGGAGCTCATCCTCATCTTTTCCTGGATCTAAATCAATCTCTGCTTCCAGTTTGCCTCCTGAGATTTCCCAAATCAGCGTATCAAAATCATCTTCAACTGAAGATTGAATCTTCCCAGTTCCTGTTGAGCTCAGTCTGCGGGTCTTTGTTACTGCTGCACGGGAAGAACTTGGGTTTGCTATCTCTGCTTGCAACGTGGAGGCAACCTGGTCAGAGCTTCACAAAGAGGAGAAAAACAAAACAATTATACATCTCCAAGAAGAAAACAGACATCATGTGTAAACCTTTGCAGGATTTTCAGTTCAACTAAAATGGTGTGGGATGAACCCTGGACATAAGTTAACTATAGGCAGAATAGAGGTAGGTAAAGTACAAATTATGTTGTGGCAGTATCTAGGCTATATATCAAGCCCAGGATATACAGGCTAGCAGGAAAAAAAGAGGGCCTATGTTTCACAGCATGTAGTAAGAGATTGGACTTAATCTGTATTGCCCCAGAGCCAAAGTGTTAAATCTACAAGGAGGTAATTCAAGCTAGAAATCAGGAAGAACTTTCTGGCATATTAGCTGCCAGCCAAAAGAACATGCTACCCCATAAGATAGTGAATTCTGTTTTGATGGAGGTCTTCAAATAGAGTGTTTATGGAGATTCTCAGTCATCCAGGTCATGGTTGTCCCAAAGGTGCTTTTTCACGAGGCAACTGGACTTTCTTTTTTCTCTTTGAAGACATTTTGCTTCTTCAGAGCTGAAGAAGCTTCTTGGAAGAGAAGCGAAACGTCTTCAAAGAAAAAAGGAAGTCCAGTTGCCTCGTGAAAAAGCACCTTTGGGTCTTCAAACAGAGGCTAGATGGTATCTGTCAGAAATACTCTACCAAATTCTGCACTGAAGAGGTTTGAACTAAATGATCTCCAATGTACCTTCTAACTCTATAATTCTACAAAAGTGCCATTAGGTACTTACTGCAATATTGGCAGTAAACAGTTCCTATGGATATTCTCCACTGCATAGCCTACTGCTTTCTTTTAAATGTACATAAATTTAAATTGAGCAGTATATAATACACACCAAAGATTAAATTGCTATGGGGCATATCAGATATAATAAAAACAGCATATCTTGTAGCACTTTGAAAGTCTAATATAATTACTTTATTATAAGATTTCTTTAGCAGGTCTCTACATCAAATACAGAGGGCTAAACTGTAAAAAGAGGTACCACATGAAATGATTAGGATAGCACAGGATGTCTATTTGTTACTGTACAACTACCAAAATATTACCATTTTTTTAAAATCAGAGATAACCTACAAATTACTGTAAAAACAAATACATGGTCTGTTGACTTGGGAATCCTACAAGATTAGTTACAAACTGGTTTAGAATAATTATGCCTTTTAAACTTTGTTACCTGCAAACTCACAGTGCTTCTTCAAAACTATTAGCAAGTTAGATTTCACTGTAAGAAATTTGAAGTATCTACATGATGCTTATGATGCTTTCCAATTTTTGGCCAGATTTAAAGGAACATTTAATTTTTTTTTATCACAATGACTGACTAGAAATCACTAAAAGAAAACCTTATTAGCTAGCTACTTATATTTGTTTAAAATATGTTTGTAACTTATTAAAGATATTTCTTTGACAAATACTTTCAGAGCTAGCAACCAGGTATTTAGAATTTTTCAGACTGAGTATATTCAAGGTTCTTACAGGATTTTTCCACAATCTGTTTTCATTGGTTATTACCCAAATATCTACTCATAAATGTGAAGGGAAAGAATATAAATATCATATGATCCAATTTATGCCAAGTAAACATTACATTTTGCCCTGCTGTTCTATGACAAAATTCCGATAATGTGCAATATGACTATGAAGAAATAATAATTACCTGTTATAATCCACCTTCTTAGGCATAGTGGTTATACTATCATTTGAATGATCTTGGGTGCTTCCCTAAGGGAAAAAATATAAAAAATAAACTCATTCTGTGAGGTTCACTATCACCACAGTTATTTTATTCCTGGACTTCCATTCCATTGTTCTTTTTTATGCAAAATAATTCATATTCTATGAATATAGAGACCTCTCTGAAGAGGTTTAGATCAAAAAGTACTCTCTCCCATCTCATAAAATTGCTACTCCTATAAGATAGAAAAGTATATATAAAACAATCTAATATCCTCAGTCATCTCAGAATTTTAGTAGCACAATCTAATAGCATGAATCTGTTTTCTCACCAGAACTGTGTTTTCAGAAGCAAAGTTTTTCATTTCTGTGCTTGTGATAGGGCTCAGAGGTTTCACTGCAGCAACAACAGAGGGATGACTCTCTGATATTTTTTGCTTCAGTGTCTGCTTTGCTGGGGAAATGGGTTTCACTCCAGATGGTTTCACATTCATCTTGGGTTTGACTGAAATATAAAAGCAATTCAGTGAGAATGGAGTGGTAACCTCTCTGTTAATGTTGCGCAAGGTATTTGGAAAAACACTTTTTAGAAGAGACCTATTTTAATCAATTCTAAATTTTAATGTATGGAAATATTTAAAATTACATTTCTAGAGTGATGATAAAATATTATTCTAAGCATTATTCCCACACTTCAGTGCTTCCCACACAAAAGGAGTTATAAAAACAGCAGTATCCTGGAGAGAAAGTAGGACTAGAAATATCTCATCAGAGAGACGGAGCTTCTCAATGGGAAGAAATAATAGTTGAAAAATGAACTCAGTTTTCTGCATGCTGAAAAGGAAAAATTTACATAGTAATGATTTCTGAGAACTGCTCTTATCTGTTAATAATATAGATGCCTGAACCCTTGTCCTACCAATATGGACTTGTATACATCTGAAGCAAAGTTGAAATGTATCCAATATATAATGAAGTTCTACTTCCCACAGCACTACAATCAATGCTATTTTTGAAGCAATCAGAATACATGGATCCGTGCATAGAAAAATTCCAGATTTATTAATCTAGAACACGTTCAACAATATTGTACTTATTTTCATGGGTTTAACATAAGTCAAGCAATTGCTGGCACCTAACTAGAATTATTACTTTTTCCTTATGTCCAAGACATATTAAGAAAAGGAATTAAAATATGCAGCTTGCCATTATCTCAAGAACCTGATAAATATTCTAATATAACTTGCAGATCAGAAATGTTTTCTATTTAAAAACAAGGAACTATTCTGGAATGAAAACCTTACCCTTAGTTTTTGGTTCTGCACTCTGAGGGCAAAGTCTCAGGCCTTCTGATGTTCCCTCCTGAGATCTCACCAACAATCTTTTGGAAAGTGGACGGGTTTTCCTCATAGTCACTGGGGATTCAGAGTTTGTAGTCACTTCTGGCATTTTTGCTTCTGCTATTTCTTCCCCAGCAAGTGTCACATTCATTTGTAGTTCCTGGGGCTTTTCCTCTTGTTGTTGCTGCTGCTTTAACCGTTGCTTCTCCTTCCTTATTTCTTCTAAGCTCTTCACATAGACTTTAGAATGTGAATTACTCACACTATCATTCAAAGGCTGCATAGATGCAAGAGAAATACTTTTAAAAAAAGCAAATGTCCAATAAGCGATCACTACAAGTCCTTACCACTCCACACAAATAAAATATAAATCTTTATTATGGCCTTTAGGGCAGAGAGCATCACTCAACCAACATTTTTGGTGTTATGCAGGTTCTTTTTTTAAAAAAAATTAAAAGCACAATCTATGGCAACCATACATATGTTTTGCTTCTTGGTGGAAGCCTAAAGTCAGAAAGAAATGCATTGCAACTGCAGTGGAGATCAGCTTGATTATAATTTCCTACTTAAGCCCTGTTTCCTAAAACAGACTGTACAGAATACAATTGTATGGAACAAAATTCCATACTAAACATCTGATCTTCATTAAGAGTATTTTTATGTTTTATAATCAGTGGTCTATTTGGTAGCATGACCTGCCACCTGTAATATGCTGCAACATCAATTGTTGGTTATTATTCATGACAATGGTATCTAAATAAGCTTAGAAGAGTGAGAATGATGTCTCTTTTATCACGTCAAGTACTCCTAATTAAAATACCAGATTATAGTTTCCAAATATACAAAATAAAAGCACGATACAAGGAATGTGCATTCACAAAAGCTATTTTCTTACAGTACAATGAAGCTCACCTTTGTAGCAATGTCTCCTGTAGAAATTCTTGGAGAAGACCTCAATACCAGAGTTTTTTCTTCCTTTTCAGGAGCTGTTGATAAATCACAGGGATAATTCTGAAAAGAACTACAATTGCCAGCACCAGCGTTCTATAACATTATTTGGAATAACCATGGTTTATTTAATCATGTGCTGTCACTGGGGTGGGTGGGGAGTGGGGTTATTGGTTTTTCTTCTTCTCTATATTGTGTTTTTATTGTTTGTAAACCTCCTAGAGCTTCACTGTGAATAGGCAGTGCTATAACTTTTCTAAATAAAATAAATAAATAAACAAAACATTCCAAGTGTAGGATGTAGGGCAGTGACTAGCTCTTGAATGCTCAAGGGCAGCGATTTACCTCCCCATCCCTCTGGAAGGTTACTGAAAGTCACTGAAAGCAGCATGACCAATGTTTTCAGCCTGGTTTTTTTTTTCTTTTTTGCTTTTATGCAAATGGGACATATGGGCTTCTCAGAGGCAAATTGTTATTATTTTCACTATTAATCCCCATGTTTAAAAAGTCCCAAATTGAACTGCTAAAACTAGATATGGCTTGTAGAGTGCCCAGAACTTGCTATGGAAGAACAAGCAATTTCTTTTACTTTTCAACTAACTTTCCCAAATTTTGAAGCTAAGAAGCATAATAATATTACTTTGGAATTTTTTTATCCACCTTTGTGTAGAAAGTTGAAAGTTTGTAGCCCTTTGGAATTATCCATAGTCATACAATACTAAGATATAAAAGATGATCTGAGCTTTAACTATTTATAGACAATAAATACATAAAACAGAATACTGTGTCACAATTGAACACACTTGAACCAGTGCTATCTTTACTGGAAAAACTATCTGAAGTATTAGATGTCACTTTTTTTAACAGAAATTATTTTAACCTGTTGCTCGATCTCACACTTGGCTTGGGGGTATTTTGGACCACTCTTTTCTACAGAATTGCTTCAACTGGATATTTTGGGGCAGTGTTGTCCAGAACTGCTCACTTTGGTCATGTCACAACATTAGATCAGGCTTTGAACTGGCCATTTTGATGTGGTTTTTTTTTTCTGCTTCAGATTGTTGTAAATTTACTTGTATGTTTAGGAATACATTAATTTAAGCTTCAGTAGATGGATAAATATCCTTATATTCTATAGAATTTGTTGATATAATCCACAGTAGACTATTGTTAATGTTGTTTGCTTAATCAAAATCTGTTAACAAGACTAAAATGAAGCACAGATAATTCTCTCACTACTACAGAATTATCTATATTTTATCTATAATTCTGAAGAGATCACAAATTTCATGACTGTATGGCAGAAAATTTTTATTTCATATTTAAATAATGATTTTTGTAGTCATTCTGAATTAATTAATTCTGAAATGTGAGTTTCTTAGGAATGCATTTTTCTAGTATGTTAAACACTCAAAAGCATGACTTTTTAAAAAACAACGAGTGATCAGTCTGTTCTGATTAGTAAATAAATATCATAATGAATTAAAACAAGATAGAAGTGGTTGAGACTTGGAGCCGTTAAATCTATTTTGCTTCTCAAGTCTGAAATACAGAGAGAGATCTGAGGAGCGGTAAGAGTTAGTTTCCTCCATCTTTATTTTTGTCATTACTAATACATCTAAGCATATAATAGTTCTGGCATTGCTGTATTTTAAGATCCAGGCCAAGAACATTTATCTGTCTTGTTACATAATAATTGGCTTCAAAATGAAACTGAGTGGAATACATTCTGAATGCATCCTTTAAAAAATTCAACATTTTTAACAAGGAAAGTTTGATACCTGTCAATTTTGTAACATACAACATTCTCCTCCCAGTTATAGTTCGTTCAGATTGTATCTGTGTCTTTGATGTGCTTTCCGAACATTGCAGCATGCGGTGAGCTTTCTCCTGCTTGATTTCCTCCAGAGTTTTGATGTGCACTTCCATAAAGTCTTTGGCTTTGACAGAAGACTCTTCCAATTTTCTTTTTTTAGATACAGTGGTTCCCAGAAATCCTTCCTTCTGAGATTCACACTCATGCTTTGGTTTGGAAAAGGTCTCTTTTTCCGTTTTTATTCGCTCCTCTTCCATTTCCTTTTGTTTTTTCTCAGCCAAGACTTCAGAAAAGGTTTTGATCCGTACTGTAGTTTTTGACACTGCATTGGGATTTGTTATACAAGCCACTTCAACTTTTGGTTTGGGGTGCATTTCTCCCTTTTTTTGGCTAGCTTTCTCCAAGCGAATTTCTTCAAGTGTTTTAACATAGATCTCACCAGTTGGTTTGGCAGCAGACTCTGTATCAGCAAAATAAATAATTAAAACATATACAAGGACTATATTTTAAATTTCATTAAGATCTCACACTTTTTGCCCACTAGAAGGTTGTGTTCCCCAATGGTTCTGAGACAAAAACAAACACAAAAACACATAAACTAATGCTATTCTTTATGTTTCACTTTAAATGGGTTGTACTTCACAAATATAAATATTTTTTTCAATCTTTGCCAGATTTTCATATAATAACCTAGAAGCTCAAAATAAAAATAGATATGAAATATATGATAAAAATAGATGAACGAGATTCTCCAGCAAGCACAGAACTAAAATTTAAAAAAGGGATTTAAAATACAATGCTGGTTGACTATTTTTTAAAAGGTCTATGTTACAGTTCAGTATTCAACTAGCAAGGTATAACATTCAGTCCAATAAAGATGCTTTCTGAACAAACATGCAGAGGATTCAGTTGAGCAAAAATTCACTATTGAAAATGTTGAAAGAAAACTTTATTGCATTAAAATAAAATTAATACCTGTTTCCATATTGCTTTGCTCAGATGGTAATCCCAGCCTTTCTTTAAGAGACCTGGGAACTTGAACTAAAATTAAGAATGATGAAGTCAGCTATAGTCATTTATTTAAAAAAAGGTTTTTGAAATCAAACACATGGCTTCTTGCAATTTATATGCACCATTACATGCATGATGCATTACCTATTACCCCATACTCTAATATATCTCAAGTATACATACTATTACAAAAAATACAATATCCAACTTTGGAATAGTTTTAGAGAAAATGTGATTATTTTCCAGAAGACTACGGAAACATATTTTCTCCATAAAATTAAAACGTTAAATTTTATCCACAAAGAATGGTCAAAGAAACTTTCTCATTATGTAAGATTTATTCTAAGATTTTGAAGTTATTTGAGTACTGTAAGAAAAGCTAGGAGAACTTAAATCACAGTTATTATTTAAGCTATCTCCACTAAACATATATTAATTAAACAAATATTAAGAACATTTCTACAGCTGAATATTATCTGTTTCTGAATATTATCTAAACCTGAAATAAATACATTTTATTAATGGAAGAGCCATACCTCTTTTTGGTGTTTTTTCTGTAGTTTCAAGTGAATCCATTTTTTTCCCCAATCTATCAGCAAGGCTACGCTTTAATGGAATTCCAGTCTCAGTGACTTATGGTGAAAAGAGAATAAATTTATGTTTCATTTTTTAAAAATCCAAAATATTTCTACTACTTGTGTATCACACATATGTCTCTACTTGGAATTATAGACCTTATTTACTCAAATGATACTATAATCTGCCTTCAATGAGTATGTGCCTAGAATGGCAGTGCACTTTTATATAAACATAATTTTATAATGCAAATAAATATATTAACTGGGTATTTCTTGTTGTCAAGATACAATAAAAATCCACTGTTCTTCTAATTCTATTCAGATGTAATTCAGTAAGTGCTAGAAATGAAAGGAATACATTCCTTGAACTTTGTATATCTATGCATCCATAAAGAGAAACATGGCTGTGATATATAACATGGTGTGGTGAACAGACATTTCAGTACAGGTAGTTGACTTACAGTTCATTCAGTGACCATTCAAAGTTACAACAGCACTGGAAAAAAAATGACTTATGACCATTTTTCACACTTATGACCACGGTAGCATCTCCATAGTCACGTGATCAAAATTCAAATGCTTGGCAACTGAGTCATATATATGACAGTTGCAATGTCCTGGGGTCATGTAATTTCCTTTTGTGACCTTCTGACAAACAAAGTCAATAGGGGCGGCCAGATTCACTTAACAATCACGTCACTAACTTAACAATTGTGGCAAGAAAAGTTGTACAATGGGGCAAATTTCACTTAAAAAATGTCTCACTTAGCAACAGAAATTTTGGGTTCAATTGTGGTGATAAGTCAAAGACCATCTGTAGTACCTTTTTTCCCCTCATGTGATTACTCACCCATGGTAGATTTCCTTTTCCCCAATCTCTCTGAAACAGTTAATCGAATCCGAGGCTCCTCACCTAGGACAGTGAAATACCAGAAAAGTTTAACATTTGCTTTCCTATCATAAGCATAAACAACTATTGCCCCCTTCAGATACATGGAATATGAACTGAGATAGAACTTATTTATTCATGGCAATGCTACAGTGTATATTAAACAGTGAAGTTAGAAGAGTGTTAAATATAAAATATAACCAAGTTATTTTCTCCATAGGAGTCATTCATAAGAAAAAAGTTAATTACGACATGGTAGTTTTGCAGTGGCATATTTTTGTTAAATGACCCTTTTAGCTAATGATTTTTAAACCTGTTGCTTGTTGCAAATCATAAATACTGCCAAATAAAGTTCCCTTGTGCCTAGATTCCTATATAAATATATAATCTTAATCAACAACAAAAAACAGAACTGTGGTTACCCTGCAGCTAGAAGAAATAACATAAATAAAAAATAGAATAAATGAAAGAAAAAAGCAGAGACAAATTTACCTTGCCTCGTAGATAAAGTTACAGTTCTGACCACAGTCCGTGCATTTTCTTTCTCTGGGCTTGGTTGAGCAATCATTTCAGAAGGAATGTCTGAAGAAAGCAAAAAGAAAGCTATGCTAACTTTCCCAGCAGCCGCTATTTATGATTTCAACCTTATGTTTACATGCTTTGTTAAGAAAACAACCCAAGCGAGAGCCAGTTTAGTCTAATGGTTAAGGCACCAGGCTAAAACCCAGCAAACTGGGAGTTATAGTCCCTCCTTGGGCATGAAAGCCAACCAGGTGACATTGGGTCAATCACTATCAGCCCAACTCACCCCGTAGGTTATGTTGTGGGGAAAATAGAAGGAGAAAGTAGTATTAGATATGTTCTCTGCCTTGATTTATTTATAAAAATAATAAAGATGGGATAAAAAAAATCTAAAAAACTGAATTCAATAAAGTTTATTTAGAACAAATTTCACTAGTAGTCCATACATATCATTCCTTGCAACTACTCTTCAATACTGCATATATCATGAAATACAAAATACCAGGTCAGTTTGCAGCTGAAATGGAACTTCACCTTCTTCTTAGTCACTAAACCTACAAGTCATTACAGCTGAAGGAAAACATAACACTACGGTCACATTCTTCATTTCCTTAAGCCAGAGGTCCCCAACCTTTTGGGCACCAGGGACTGGTTCCATGGAGAGAAGTTTTTCCGCAGACCAGAGAATGCGCGGTTTTGTGTGCTGCCTGCATCTTGCAGATGGGGCTTTGTTTGTTTGTGCGGACTGGTTGCTGGCATGCCACGGACTGGTACTGGTCCACGGACCGGGGGTTGGGGACCCCTGCCTTAAGCAATAGCCAAGTAAGATATTAGCTTTATCAGATTATATAGGAGCAACACCTTAAAACAAAATTAAGTAAATCTTCGCAATGGACTTCTTAACAACGCAAACACAGTCTCTAAGAAATAATCAAAGAGGACATTACATGAGACAATGAAGGAAAGAAAATCAACAAACCATTTTGCTGCTTTGACTTTTCTTTCATTTTTTTTGATTTTATTTCTTCAAGAGTCTTGATTCCAAAATTCAAACTTTTATCTGAAAAAAATGTAGATATCTGATTTAAAAATGCATATATAATTCCAGAAACCAAATATTTACAGTATTTGACAAGATTGTAAAATTTTCAAATCTAAGACAAGTGAGGAAATTACTATAATCTTAATATTACATACTTTCTGTTCTTACCTTTATCTTGATTTGCACTAGTCACTGATTTCCGAGTAGAAATTACCCGCAGTCCATTTGGACTTTCTGTAGATGGTTGTTGAGCAGGCATTTTAGATTCATCACCTTCTTCAGATAATTGATCTGAAAGGAACACTAATGTTACTTTAATTCTAATCCTGTTTATTCATAAATAAGCAAGATCTACTGATCTTAAATCAATAGAGGGCTGGGTTGCCCTTCTTAATGTGCCTAGGACTGCTACTCATTTACTATCCATAATTTCTTATTAGAAATGATATGTAACCCTAACTAAAATGTTTAATGTCTACTCTCTATATTCATGAGCAGTTAAGGACAGTTATTGAGCTATATCTTCGGGTTTCATACTAAATCATGAAAATCCATAATTTACTATTAATTGTATAATTTCAAACTGCATTTAAAAATGTAGAATAATTTTTAAATGATTAATTGTACAAGATACATTTAGACCTTCTTTAGAAGAATGGCATGCTATAAAAGTATCAATGTCAAAAGTAACTTTATATTTAAAAAACAAGTCTAATACTGAATTTAATTTAATGGACTTAAACTTTGTGCATGGGCTTATACCGTATCCAAAGGTTGGTTTTTTTCTTTAAAGGAGAAAGCTTTATAACAGATTTTATTTTATTTATTATAAGGACCGGCCTTTTCTGTTTACAAGGAAACTCATATTGTTTATTCCAATTAATTTTTATATTGATTACTTTTGCCATTCTTAATTTTTGACAATGGTTTTAAAGTGGTAATTTGATATAATTAATATAAGATCACATTGGTATGCAATGCTAATCTAATACCATTTTGAAAATTTTATTGAACTTTATATAGCTTCCATTATTTTCTATTTAAAAAAGGAAACAGCTAAGTATGACTCAGTATCCCATGAAGAAAGTCACCAGCCTGAATCTACATATATTAACTGATTATTACTATTTGTAATAGTAATAGATTCCAGGTTTTGTATGAAAATACAGAACAAGTGGCTGAGGTTCATGTTTAACTTTACATGCAAACCCATCTCACTTAAGATAGATTGCATCCTGTTATCTATGGCCTAGTGATCAATGAAAGTACCCAATTCTCTGCAAGGAACTCTCATCAGCCACAGATTTAAACTGATCCAAATCCCTGAGCTGTTAAAAGTATTTTTCAACAGAAGCAGAGACAATGATATCTGGCAGTAACTGAAATATCATTTGTAAATATGCTATAGAGCTCATGGGCTTCACATCTTTTCTCCTCCTCAACTTTAACAATACAATTCAATTACATATATGTGTAATTGACTGGACATATATGATGAACTAGAAGGCAAATGTTAAAACAAAAACAATAGCTTGTCCAGATGAAGCCTCAACTGAAGCAACCATTAACATCATTTGGGGATTCTAGCTGAAGCCTCTGGATTTCCTCTTTGTAAAAGGTAACATCTTTCTTAAATTAAAGGTTTGATTTGATGAGTTTAGGAAAAAACAGTCCAAGCAAATAGTCCAAGAATACAACATCTTCACTTGCTTTTATATTTTATCTGCTATACTCATTCTCCCTTTATTTTAAAATTATCTTAGGTTGAACGAATCATATTTAGCTCACCATCATCATCTTCATCATCATCTGCTGCATTAATAACAACAGGTGGATGTGTGGGACTGGGAACATTTTCAGAGTTTTCCACCTTCATCACTCCACGCAACTGAGGTGATGGGTTGGACTGAACAGAAAGCTTGTTTTGTTGTGTAGTCTTCATCTCCTCTTCTGGAGACTCAGGCACATTTGCAAGAACAGCTTAAATAGTGAAACAACAATCAAATAATCCATTTAGTTTGGTCATACTCAGAATGAATTCATTAAAATCTATGAGAATTTAGTAATAACTGACATAAATTCCATGATTTCAGCCAGCCTACTCAAAGAATAGCAATGCTTGTATTCAGCCCATTACTCATAATATATACAGGGAGTCCTCAACTCATGACAGTTGTTTAATAACCATTCAAAGTTACAATGGTCTCAGAAAGGATGGTTTATGGTCCATAAAGAACTTCTGGCCGTAGTAGAACACTGTGCCATCCTTCTGCAGTTGGGCATTTGGCAACCGGCTCACAACAGGTTGCCAAGCATCCCTCAATAATGTGATTGCCATTTGCAATCTTCTTTGCCAACTTCCCCAGAAAGTCAATGGGAAGCCAGCAGGGATAGTTGCAAGTGAAAAGGATGACAGGGAGCTGAAATCTTTCAGCAGGCTGCAATAATAGAGCTTCAGGATTTTAGCTCCATTCCTGTAGCTACCCCAATTTTAAACTCTTACCTCCTCTTAAAGTTTTGAACTTTCATATATACTGTTTACATTTTTAACATTTATGTTCCCTCTTTGAGGGAGATGGGTGATTCAGAAATGTGAAAAATAAATTAAAATTAAAATAAAATGGTACTAGTGTAAACTAGATTCAATGACATTTTCTTCTCCACCCACTCGTATTGATTTTGCTTACTATTTACCTCTTACTCTGCTTACTACTTCTTATTCTTATACTGCACTTTGCATAAAGTTGTTTAATTCAAAGAGTAAAGCTTTCTTTGTGTATATGCTATGAAGTTATCTAAATAAAATGGGAAACTTTCAACACAAAAAGTTCAATTGATGAAGTTACTTTCACATAAGCATCAAAAGTCTGAATCTCTTCCATTGAACCTGGATTATAAACCATTTATTAATGTGGAACTGGTAATTATTATAAATTGGGTCAATCTGGTGGGGCATTATAGTCCTAATGAGTCCAGAATAGTTTTTGTTATTATATCTACAGAGGTATGCACACCCAGACATTAGAACTCAAGAAAGTTTGTATTTAGATTAAATTACCACAATTTTCCAAGGACAAAAATTTAACTTACTCTTGCTTGGAGGTAAGAAAAGCCCATCCACAAAACGTCCCTTGTTGTGGTGGAAAGCACAGTTCAATTTCTGACAGCCCAATGGCTGATTCTCCCAATAGCATGGTATTTCGCTGCGCTTTTTCTAAAGACAAACCACAAGTTATTAATTATAGACAGAAGACCTGCAAGTTCACAGTATTAAGATAGCAGCGCATGTAATGCATTTAGATGATACAAAAAGCCCCAACACAAATAATATGGTTTACCAGAAGGCACAATGCTTGTTGTTGTCAAAAATGAAAATATTGGCTATTGTTCTTCTATGCAAGGTTTAGGCCCAGGTGAACTAAATCAGGCCTCATGGAAAAAGTATTGAACTAAAGTCTGTGCTATGCTTAATTTTGCAGTTTGCAATTGTACTTTACTTAATATGATTTTGCTAAGCTTGCTTGTTTCAAATATATTTAGAACATAAGGACTGGAGCAGCAAGACATAGGGAACTGAAAGTAGCTGACGGATGCGGGTTCCAATGTATACGAGTATGTAGAAAGTTATGGTCAGCAAAAAGTCAGCAGAAAGTATAAGATTGCTGACCATCTGTCTACAGTCTTAGGATGGGAAAGGGTATAAAGAGTTGGGACTGGACCTGACTGATTTGCTACTGGCCTATAGCTGTCCTTATTGGAACTGCTATGTCATTGGACCTCATTGCAATGGGTTACTAATGTAAGTGATGTTGTGTTATTATGTTTGCTATGTTCCAAATTATTAGCAAAATAAACCTCTGAATCTTAAAGTAAGAATTATTGTTTTGTGTTGCTGTCTGTCTTTTTCATTGGGTTTTTCTACAACATTCAGAAAGATGTTTGCAGTTCTGATCCTTGGTGAACTGCAATATTACATGTACAACTGTATTATTATTTGTACTGATGGTCTGTGAACGCCTCCTATGAAAGTTCGAAACAAGGCCATAACTAAAGTACTATAATCTACTTAATTTCAACAATGCATGCTTTCTTCCCAAATGCTCACCGTGTCAGATTAAATGTACTGCTTTATTATGCTGTTATATAAGCACTTACATCAATCTCCATGTGTCTAAAGCGGCAGATACTCCTGAAGCATCGACCTTCCTGCCAGAGCACACACACAGTTTCATTTCCAAGGGCAGCTTCACAGTGACGAAAAGGGCAACTATCCCCCTATGAAAAATGGTAAAGAGTGAAAGATTAAGATCTATGGGTGAAACCCAATACCATGCAAGTAGACTTATATACATAACACCTTTCCCTCAGCCAATCTCCCTGCAGGACCCCCCACTGAATTTGAAATAATACACTCAAGATGTGAGTAAAATGAAGAATGTCAGCTTTAATTCAAGGAGTTTGACAAATACTTCACAAACTTAACAAAACTTCACTTAGCTTACATCTTAAAGTCTTTCATTTCAAATTCAGTGTGGTGGTATACGGAGGCCAAATACCCCCCCCCCAATATATACAAACCTGATTCTCTCTCTTTCTCTCTCTCTGTGTGTGTGTGTGTGCACATGTGTGAGTACATGCTATGTACTTATAAAAATGAAAAACCTAGGAAAATAATTCTAGGTTATATAAAACAAGAAAAAACAAATTATTCTAAATGATGAGTATAGAACTTTCCTGACTAGTAAATGAATTATGATTTAAATAATCAACTTAAATCAAATCAAAGCTATCCCACTGAGCAATCAAATATACAAAAAGTTAGATTTAATAAAAATATTCTTTGTAGCATAAAGATAGCTACAATAATAAGATGGATGGAAATAATTTCACACCCTAAGAGTGATGATACAAAATGTGAAAAGGAACTCGTCTTCAATGCTGCAATGAATAGCAATCGTTCATTCATTTTTATGGGAGAATAGTTTACTGAATTTACTATAAATACCCATTTTATACAATGAAAACATGTGATATGAAAGTGTATATCTCCCCTTCACTTGCTCCAGAAGCAGGGTTAGTGTCTTCTGATGCCCCTTCCTCATTTTTGGAATGACAAACTAAAAAAAAGAACTCAATGAAACAGCACTTAAGAAACTTTCTATATATCCGTACTTTGGATATATGAATATATAATAGGTTTAGAAAATAACATAATATTTATATGAGTATAACAAATACAAAAAAGCTGATTGTTGTATAATCTCTTTACTGGCATTATGTGAATAACTATACCCAAAATATAATAAATGAGACATGTCAATTATATATTTGCTTAATGTAATTAAGTTCCATTAACTTATTTTTGTATTTCCTACACATAAGCATACTACACATTTTCCATAACTACATCAAGAAATTCACTAAAATTAATGGTGCAGTTATTGAGTTACAGATGAAATAACACAAATATGCTTAGAAGACTCAAATGCTATGAAAAATACCTTGGTACAAGTAGAGTAGAAATAGAAATAACAATCATCTCCTTGGTTAGACATATTCAAATTAATTTCCTTCAAGCTTAAGGTGTAGAAACAAATGGCTGAATACAATTTTGTTATTTTTCAGTGATGGTTAATCACACTGATGTTTAAAATGGCACAATCTTCTATACAGGATTATCAATATCTTCTTTAAAATATAATCCTAAAAACAAATGAATAAGAGATTTAAATATCATTGAAAATGTTACATTTGCTAGAAACATCCCATTTCCATAAACGTTTAACTCTTAATATGTATTGTTTTTTTTAAAAAAGGAGTCAAGTTATTACATGCATTTATAGGTGCACATAAAGTTAGAGCTTATCTTCAGGAAGATATGAAGGAGCCATTAAGGAGTGGCTTGGAGAAAAGATTACACAGTCCAGAAATGGAAGGAAACATGAGAAACTCAAAATAACCCCATTTTAATTTTGTTTAATATGATTGGGCAGAGACAGATTTTCAAGATGCCCAACAACAAAGAAGCATTACTGGAACCCTTGTAGTGTCTACTTCTTGACTTGGCCTATCTTGAAGGGCTGACGTATAGACCCTACTTTATAGATTCTAAATGACTTACAGTGCGGTAATATCCAAATGCAAGTCAGAATACTAGCTATCGCCTACACAAGTAGCTCTTGGCTTACAATCTTTAATTGATCTTGAAATTACAGTTGTAAACTGTGCTGGTTGTTAAGCAGTTTGTGTGACACCTGATTTTTATAGCCTTCTCGTGACAGTTGTTAAGCTTATGTGATGATTGTAAAGTGAACATTGGTTGCTAAGCAAATCCACTGTCTGCAAATATAAATACAGTCAGGTAAAAAACTAAAATTACTGTAAATTACTGTTGGGCACACCCAAAATGCAATCAGGAGACCACAGCAGAGGGATGGCTGTTGAAATTTCAAACCTGGATTGTAAGTTGCCCTGGGGAGGTCTGTCATAACTTGGAACAGCTGATAAACAACAGGTCATAAGTCAAAGGCTATCTGTAAAACCTGTCATGGGATAGGATTGGCTTGTTTGTGGGATGATCTTGTTGTGTCTGCTTGTTTCATGAAGTCCAGCAGGATGAGCATTCTCCGGGTCCCTTCCATTAAGCAATAACATCTAAAACCTCTTGTTGCAACACCTACTCTATGGAACATCAATCTTGCTAGCCTTCTATAAGGCATTAAGGACCTGGCTCTGCCAACAGTAGGCCTCTTGTGAATAATGAATTTAATGCTATTATTATTATTACTATTACTATTACTATTATTATTATTATTATTATAGCTTCGCTCCATGTGTGCATGCTTTCAATTTGTCTTTAATATTATTGAAGCTATTTTATTGACTGTTTGCAGCCCAACCATGTCAACTTGTAGACATATAAATCTATATAATAAAATATTTTAAAATATGGTTAAGCAAAATGTTATTAAAACACAGATTTAATTCAATAATACAGACTGAAATACCTTGGTATGATCAGCAGATACGATCTTCAAAAGCTTCCAGTTATTTTTCTCCTGTAGGTCGAATCAACACTCAATCCATAAAATAGCAACGGGATAGAAAGATTTTTCTTCCTCACATTGTCAAGGACACAAATCGCATCCTCATTCAAAATTCAGATAAAGGGTGAATTACAACTACTGGAGAAAGTAAGTCCATTTGAATAGCCAGGAAAGCTGGAAACAGTGGTTAATTGCCTCTTCAAAATAAATAGTTCATTCAAAGAGGAACTTCTGTTTCAAACCGGCTGCAAAGAAGATCCGTCTTCCACAGCCAGGGAATTTTACTTTTTTTTTTTTTATTAATTAAAAGAGTATTTCAATTTCTGGTCTTCAAGATCTCTTCACCTATTGAAAAAAAGAAAAAAATCTTCCCCGGTCTTTATTAACTGCATAGTAAAAATATAATAGCTATTAAGGTCAGACATGTATATACACATAAAGCTGCATATTATGTGTTTATACATGTAAAAATGTATACTCAAGGGCAGTATTAATAAGCTGTATTTCAACAAATCATTCTTCCATTTTTTTTTTTAGATGAGTAATCATACAGTACAAATAGGTATATTCATACTGCGTGTCAGACTTTACACATGTGTGCCTTGTAAGAAGTATTTTTAGATTAAATGGATAAATCTTTTGTATAGTATTTGCAATTGCAAGTGCAATATATTTGGCAGCATAATATTAATAAAGCATTTTACTTCCAGCCTATTCAAGTTTTGTTTTTTTTAAAAAAAACTAATCTAAATTTTGCTCTCTCATTGTCAGTGCAACATTTTCCTAAAAAAAAAAGATGTTGCTGCTTGTCAACGATAAGATTGAAAGGATGTCACTGATCTAACATCCTAACAATTAATGTTCTTACAGTCACAAGCAAATAATGTGTTGAAAATCAGAACAAAATTTATTCTTTCAAACATCATCTTGCATATGTAATTTTTAATGAATGTAGAAGAGTAAGTTTGAAAGTTTTACTCCAGACAAAATAATTTGCCTTTGGATATTTATAGTATATTTCCCCAACTCTAAAAGAGTAGAGGGATTTTTAAAAATAAATTATTGTCTGTGTTGAATTTCAACAATAGGAATTTTAAAAATGTCATCTGTAAAATTGCTTTTTATTTGCATTTCTTTTTTTTATGCATAAACTTGTCTTGCTGGCACAAAATGATACTAGTACTCCAGATGGAAAAATCTGAATGAAGGAAAAAGGTTTCTGTCAAATACATATTATTATTTGCATAATCATTCTATTTTAAACAAAATATGTATATTTTAAAAAAATAATAGTCATGAACCATCTTTAAATGGTAAAAAAAAGTTGTCCTTTAGGTACATGTCATAAGAAGAAAAATTAAAATAATTTTTTTAGGAGCATTTCATTTTCATATACACTGGATAATTTGGGGAACAGTATTATGGTACCTGTCCACTGAGTACATATCCCAAGCATTTTGCACATGTCTGTTGTAAGTAATTTAAGAACATACCATCTTTCCAACTTGGGTAACAGTTTACTGTGGATTAAGCCAGAACTATTGAATTGTTCCACTGCTGCATTAAAACCCCAACTGTTTTAAAGAATGCGAAAAAGATTATTTTCCCATCTTTTAGTGCAAAAATAAAGTAATTTGTATCTCTAACAGCAGGAAACTCAATTTCTGTACTTAAACGGCATTTTTATAAAGCTTTGTAATTGAATTCAGTTGGTACAAAGTCCTAAAGAGGGCCATTAGCCTTTTGGAGGGGAACTATTTCTAACAATATAAAGTGAATCATCTAAAGACAGAAGGTCTCAGATTTTAATTTTTCTGCTCATTTCAACTTGCTCCACTTGACTATGAAACACTGACAATTAGCATATCCAGATAACACAGGGTGTTTGTATGTTTATAAGATTCTTTGAAGCTATAAATGTAGAACACGCAGAGCTGAGGGGCAGAATTAAGCACATCATCAGCTTACAATTATTACATAGCCACCAACAGTCAAAGTCCAATTCCTCTTGAATTCCATTTACTATTATATGGTGTTAATTTAATACTGAACTTTAGTTGATTAGATTGTGTATAGGCTTGAGCCTATAGGCTTGAGCCTATAGGCTTGACATATGCTCCTGATCCTTTGCGCCTAACACTTAAATACTGGATAGGGAATATTTTCAGCTACATTTTAAACTGTTCAAAACAGCCAAAATTAGAGCTATCCTGCTAATTAACTTGCCATTTCACAGCACTAATTTACATAACTGCCAAAGCTCTAAGTAAAATCTAATCAAAACTGTGAAAAATATGATCTGACCTTGTTTCTTGGAGAGATTTGTTGTCTTGAAAGCACTGGTATCCAATTTCTCAGCTATCCCTACCAATATATAGGACAGTATTTATCAATTTAAGTTGCCTAAAACTGTTTTTATACTTTGATAATTATTGCAACTAATTAAATCTTTCCTCAATTACAACACTTGCCAAGGGCAGCAAATCTTAACAGCCCTTCTGATGGGGGAGATTTGATTACAATAACGTTTTTATATATCAGACTACCTCTAAAAATTATTTATAGCATCCACATTTGAGAATTTTAACTCTATATGCACCTTGGAGTAGGTTCCTTTCAAGTCAACTGATCTCTAAATAGATATTCATGCATTTGCACAGGAGCCTACAGAGGTTATTCCTTGAAACAAGAATCTAGGTAGCCAAAAAACACTTAAATATGCATCCATTTCCATCCATAAACCAAAAGTGGTGTTTGTTATAAAACCCTTTTTGCATGTTTTAAAGGGGAAGAGCAACAGACTTATCAGAAATATCCAACCATCTCAAAGGGCTGAACAAGGCTCATATGCAAGGATAGCACTAATCACTTATAAATTCCTTTTGTACTCTACTGTCAGAAACAGCCTATAAAAATAGGCATGTTTTCACACTAAGTTTTCAATATGATATAATATAGAAAATAGAATGTAAATTCAGAATAAAATGAATGTTCTTTGCCCTATAACTACATTAGGGGGTTCTTTAATTACTACCAATACAAATTTTACTATCACCACCAATACAAATTTTAAGTATAGCCCACTCTGGCTCACAAAAGTGCTTGATGTTACATATTAGATAGCTTTTAAAATTCTATAGAATCTGTCAGTGTTACAGCACACTGTCCTTCTAGAATGCATTTCCTTTTGGTGGTATGTTCGATATGCCAGGAAAGCAGGCAAAATAGATTAGCCATCGTCAGGAATACCCATTTTGCTTTAGTTTGTCACAGTTGTTTTGTTTAGACATAGACTGTCTACTCATAGCCAGCCTTTTCTTTTTATATACCCTGTACCTAATGCTACTGTGCACTTGCTCACTAAATATCAAGCATGGACTCTTAATTTAAAAAACAAGCAATTCCAGCAATATGGTTTTACCATATTACTTCTTATTAAAAAAGCTCTTCCAGACATGGCCCAAACAAGGACTTATCTACAATGAAAGTCCCAGTTTAGTATATTTAGGCACAGCTTTCTTTTATAACAGCTCTACAGTTTGCTGCAGTTACACTGCTACAGAAGGCAATGACAAAATACTTTCATAAAGTTGCCAAAAACCTGCATGGATCTGTTCCTGTAGCTACCAGGCATCAAACTCACATTGAGGAAGAAAGCTCAGATAAAGTGCACTACTCTGCTTATGTATATGTATATTTGTGTTACAAGTTTTTTTAAAAAAAAAAATACAGGAAATAAATCTGTTAATCTACAGCAAATACAAATAAACTACTTCCTATTAGATTAATAAATTGCTTTAGGTCTCTTTGTGCCAGCCTGCGTTCTAGAAAGAACTGCATTTTCTAATCCACTATAATTAATGTATCAAAAAAAACTATTTTTTAAAAAACTAGTAGATATAATAACCATTTCCTAGATGCAAAATATCTTGCAATCAAAGGGGACCATTTCCTAAAACGGTATCTTGTAGGAATATAAATTACCCTTCATATCCTAGCGAATCTCCAATGTCTCTATCATAATAAGCACTATTCTATTTAAAAAAATATGATTATCAAGCAAACAAACACTGTCTGTAAATAATCAGGTGATTATTTACAATGTTTGCTACCTGTTCCCCCCCCAAAAAAAACCTTTAAGGAACTAAGGAATGGGGTGAAAACAATTACTTAACCAAAGAGGGATTAAATAAAAAGAGGCTGGCCTAGGAATCCAGCGGTAATGCTGTACCACTTACCTAAAAAGGTTAAAAAAAAAAAAAAAGGTATTTTTTTCCCAGGCGGGCTGGGATGGGGGATGGGGAGCGGGAGAAGAGATTCCAAATAAGTAAATAATCAAAACACCGTTTGCAGAAATTAGGAATTAATTTCCGTTAAACGGAAAGGTAAGGCGAGAACGTAAGCAGAGCAGGCCTCAGGAAAAGCCGGAACAGGGAAATAAGACACAGGCCGAGTCCCAGGCTCCGGGCCTAGAGGAAGGCGTTCCTGACGAAAAAGAAATCAATAAATTAAACGCAAGGAAGCCGCTGGCCGTACATCGGAGACAGGGGGGGAGGAGACCCAGGCCTTTTGTCACCCATGCGCAGGGACTTTACCGAACCCCGAGAATGTGACGACGACGACGACGACACCGAACTCTCGGGTTCCGCAGCACCGCGCTTCCGCCGCTTCTCTCGGCGAGGCGAAAGCTCAAACTCCCGTCGTCGCCGTTAAGGCCGCCGCTGCCCTCCTCTAAGATGGCCCCTCTCACCGACGCCCGGAAGGAACATGGCTAAAAATAAAGAAGCAGTCCCACTTACGCGACCCGTGATCCTTCGCTCTCACCATTGTGAACGAAACAACTGGATACACGTCACGTCCGGTCTACACCGGAACCTCTTCAGTACGTCGGCGGGTCGCGAGCTGCGTGTGTGCGGGAAACGGAGGACGGGTTTTTTTCCCCCCCTTTTTTTCTTTTTCTTTTTCTTAAAAAAAAAAAAAAAGCTTCCCGGCGCCGTTCTTTAAACTTCCCGGTTTTCCTGTCTTGAATCTCGGCCATGGCGTACCGCGGGCAAGGCCAGAAGGTGCAGAAAGTGATGGTGCAGCCTATCGTATCCTTCTGTGTGGCAAGGGAGAGGAAGCGGGCTCTGTTGGGGAAAGGGAGGGGAAAGGCCACTGAGGGCTGCCTCAAACGCCCGGGTCTCTGCTTGGTGGGGGGGGGGGGGGGGAGGAAGGGAGGCAAAGGAAGAGAGCGGGAGGCTTTAGGCCAGTGTTTCTCAACCTTGACCATTTTAAGGCATGTGGACTTCAACTCCCAGAATTCCACAGCCAGCAATGCTGGCTGTGGAATTCTGGGAGTTGAAGTCCACATGCCTTAAAATGGTCAAGGTTGAGAAACACTGCTTTAGGCTGAGAAATGGGCATGTTCCTCGGTTTTGTATGTTTTCTGGAAACACTTTTTGTAGGGGCAGGAAGATCTTGTTAAGCTGAAAGGCTTTATTATTCTCTTGGTGACTTCGGATGCTCAGGTTAGTTATTGGGAGACTAAAATAGGTTGGCTGAGAAAACCGCCTTGAACATCTGGGATACAAGATTTGAGTACCTAAATATAATTAATCCGGTTGGGAATAGCATTAAAAGTCGATTCAGAAAAGCAACTGTTTTAAGTAAGCTTAATTCTAAGGTGCCTCAGCCATCAATATGCTTTCATTTTGTGTGAGTTCTTGTGTGTAAGAAACCTACGGTGCGTTCCCTATCCTGTTAACTTGGACAGTTGGAAGAAGAAATGTTGAATTTCTGTCAGAAAGAATCGATGGGGGTAATCCTTTATATATATATTTTTTCCTAAATGTATTTGTGATAGAACCTCATTTTTCGGTACCTACAGAATGTAAGTATACATAATGTATTTTTTTCAAATTTTAACAATGTGCTTGCATAATTACTGATATTTACGATACCCCCATTTGTGCTATACAATGAGAAGTTTTGTTCTCTTTTATATATAATACAACCCCTCCCCCCTTAGCTTTAATAGGGAAGTGACCAATTAATGTGATTGAAGCATTTTTTGTAGAAAGCTACAGTAAATACATTAGTGTGCATTTCAGAAATGTTAAAAGTAGTATTTATCATTATAGGTAACAAAAAATATTGAGACCTCAAAAAGTTAAAAGCAGTAATAGTGAGTTTAAGCTTATTCTTTCAGTTTCTTACCAGAATTCTTCTGATAAAATTATTTGGTGTTATAAATGGTTTTATATTAAGATCTTATTACACCTTGAGTAAATAACTGCATTTTAATAAGGGTTTCACTTTCACTGAAAAAATTGAACCAGCTAGGGTTTTTTTTGGGGGGGGGGGAGTTTCACTTTGCAATTTCTAGAGAGCCACAAGAACTTGGGCCATGCAAATAAGATTGTAAGCCTATACAGAATTCCACAATGTGATAAATAAGTTTCTTTGCTATTTGCTTTGCAGAGGTCCCGGATTCAGGTTTGGCTATATGAACAAGTAAACATGCGGATAGAAGGCTGTATCATTGTAAGTATTGTTAATTGCTTTCACATACATGTAAAGAAAAATATAACTTAAATATGATTGCAAAAAGAAATCATTTTGTTCTTAGTTTCTGATCTCTGCCTAAATGAAAACAATCAGTACAGTAAGTAAACATATTTTTCTTGAACGTCATCATTTAGAGTTAATTATGAAAAATCACTCATTCTAGTATTATCTGGGCACTTATCGTTGTTGGGTTAACGCAGATTGTGAAAGCCTGCATCAATATATTTTCAGGGGTGTTTAAAACTGGCCCAGCTGTTAAATATTTTCTTTTTATGAATGTTTAGTTAAATTATTTTTTTTATTGTTGCTTCATGCTATTTCATTTATGATACATCATTCTATTTTAGGAATTTTGATAGTTTAAAAGAGCAGGATGAAGATATTTTAAATATAATCAGAGTAATCTCCATTTGATGAACCTAACTAAATCCACCATTCTTGCATCTTTACTACCATCCCTGATGTTACTTCCTTCCATTAAATGTATTGTCGTATTTGTGTGTTCTGGTTCACAGGGTTTTGATGAATATATGAATTTGGTTCTGGATGATGCTGAGGAAATTCACTCTAAAACAAAATCAAGAAAACAGCTGGGTAAGTGTAAGCTTTTTGGTAGTATATATCAGACATCCTTTTTTGTTACTAGTAAAAAAGAAATGCTTATTTAATTTTGTGAAAATCCATAATAGGAATTTCTATTTTGCATTTGAATGTAAATGAACAAGCATCCAAGTAGGCTTGGGGCTGCCATTTCACAGTTCACAGTTCCATATATTTAATTGGCACATTACTTCGGGTGAATAGCACCAAAAACTGCTGAAGGGTCAAGGGTAGCCAAAAGGTGAATAGTGCATTCCTCTTTCTTGCCAAATATTATCCATCAAGAAAAATAATACAATTTTCCTGTAAAACTAGTCCAGGACTAAATGTGGGATTTTTCCCCCCATTGCATTGTAATAGTATTCATTGTTTAATTAATCACAACTGAAGAAAGCCAAATGAATTATATTGCTAGTCCTATAACCTAATATATAATAAAAGTCCAAATGTTGTCCTTTTGAAATTTAAAAGAATTGAGTTCAGTACTTAGAATTATGGATTTGGAACTGATTTTCTAATTTCAGTTTCGATATGTAGCAGATAATAAATCCTTTAAACCTGCTAATGTTTTCATATTAAAGTATATTTAGTGTGTAAAATGTGTTAGTGTTCAACCCAACATAATCACTAAAGTATAGGTGCCTGAACGCAAGGCGCTGTGCGTGTGTTTAGAAAGGCTCAAGCTTAATCCAAGAAAAAATTGTAGTTGGTTTACTCACATCTGCTAAAAAAGAGGCCACTAATTTATATGCACAGCTTCTTCTGAATACAATCTCATCAAGCCTGCACAAGTAAAGCAGGGATAATGTCCACAC